CTTTCATTTCCTTGCACCACACGAAAGAGATTTGCACTGCTCACATGATATTATGTTGCGCACTAAACAAACACATACATACAGTTACTATCGTTTCATCCAAAATCACTTTGACCTTCACACACCCTCTAGACAACCACACCATCGTTTTCAATTCATCAATTCAAAATACACTTCACCGTATTTCCTAAATTTCACATATTGTATTAAAGACACTAACCTCCATGGTATTCTTCGTAATTATGACCCCATAACCCAAATGTATATTTTCTGCCCCATCACCAAGACCTTCAACGCCGAAGAATCCCGACCCTTCCTTATCCCGCACGAGTTTGTACAGCCTATAGAAATCCCAATTTTAGAATTCATCCACAACACTAAATTTAACCACAAATTATATAACTTAATCCAAAACACACCTTATGAGTTTGCAGTAGGCACTGAAGAACTAACCACTATTAAGGCACTTCAATTGCTTTGGCCACTGCTTCAGACTAAAAATATCATCCGCATTCTAGCTAAACTACTAACAACTTCAGAACTAATTCACGACATCTTCCCCCACGGTTTTTTCCCCGACGACTAACAGGTAAGTATGAATTAAGTAAATATTACTAACTAATTATAGTATTAAAAACTCACCATTCTTTATTCATGTTTTCATTAGATTTTTAGCCCTCATCCGACGATCACCTACAAAAACAACAAAAGACAAATAAAAATCACAATTTTCATCAAACAATTTTAAAATTCTATTAATCTCTTACACTTATAAATTTCTAAATTTCATATCAATGCAGTAAATTCATCTATAATATTTTCCCCCAAAGCAGTAAATCTGATTATGATGAAAATTTGTATCTTAATATTCCCCCATAACTAGCAGTAAATTTCCAAATTCTATGCAGTAAATTAATAAAATGCAATTGCAGTACTAACCTTTTGATATTTTCATTCATTCGCACAGAAATTCTATCCACACTCGCACAGCTCGCCCACGAAGAATTGTTTAAAATAATGAATTTCAGTTTCAAGTTTTCACACTCAACAATTCTAACATATAATAACATGTTTCAAACTTTCCTTTAACCCGGTTGGAAAGGAATCATATACTAAACAAAACTAACCAACGCAGCTTACTAAATACCACAAATCATAGAATAACAGCATGACTAAGAAAAGGAAACCAACGGTGCCCAAACCGGATTAACCCAGTTTAAAACTGGATAATTTATTCTTTTGAAGACTATTACAAAGTCTTAGAAAGAAATAATAAAACACAAAAAAGTCGAAAGACAAACCCATACCACAAACAATTTGCTTTTTGGAAAAAGTACATAACCAACAAGACACAAGTAAGACCACAACAAACCCAACATAAAACGTTGTCACATAACAGGACCCCTCACAAAAACCGCATGAAATCATACTCCCACACCTGGCCTAACCCACCAGGAAGGACGTCCTGAGCATGCTCTATAGCCGGCTTAACCCACCGCGCTACATCCACGCTTTGTGACCACACCTTTATTTTTAATAAGAGCTACTCAAGGGTGAGTAACTCTTCAAAATAACCGAACTAAAACAAAAAAGCTTTTGTGAAAACAACTAACTAAAATCATTATTAAAAAATATTAAACTAATAAAAGTTTTATAAAATGTAAAATCACATGATGCAATATATAGATCAGAATACAACACCAAGGACGAACATCAAAAGACAAGACGACCCCACTACACTCGAGAGAGAATGACCAACTACAATCGATATGCCGCTCACAATCACAACTCAAAGGATTTAGAGTACGACTTGACCTCGCAGAAAAGGACTTCATTGAACCAGACCAACGACCACCTCGATGACCCAAGTGTACGTACAGATCCGAGTAACCAGGCATCCCCTCCACGCACAATCTCCACGCCATTCCCAAGTTAGATCAGACACAAAAGAAGTTCTCCACGAAGAACAGAAAAACCTGACATAGCCAACCATTCTGAAATCAGAATTGATTTTGTTGCAAAGACTCAGTCGTTGTCACAAGAAGAACACAACGTCTTATGTCTCTAACTCCAGCTTCCTGGAACTTCCTTAACAAAGAAGAAGCGGAAGAAAATTATGATGTTCGCCAAATACCAACGTCCATCATCCATCCTTGAATTACAGAACTGTTCTAAAAAACTCTGTAAAACCCGGATGGGTGGAACCTGATCTAAACTACATTTTATGATTGGATAAATTAAATGTTTTACCAATGTAAAGTATTTAATATTAACCAATCATGATCCATCTAACTAACAACCCACTTATTTGTAAGTGCTGAAGTTACTTGTAATTTCAGCACCAGAGAGATTTGAATTTAACTTAGAAATTAGTTGGACTCTCCCGAGCACTTCAGCAGCCGCAATAAACCAGTATACCCTAGATCTATTGAGCCTAGCAGAGACTAGTTAAACAACCTGAGACTAGATAGTATAAGAGTAAGATTAGGATCGGTATTAGACTAAGAAGTTGCACGAATCTATCCGGCCGAAAATAAGATAGCGTGACGAGCAGACGGTGTACCCTATCCGAAATTACTCTATGAGTTATACAC